GATGGGGGCAGCCGCTGGAGAGGGGCGGGCAGCGCCAGGAGGGTGGGGGGAATAAGGCCGAAAAGCACCGGGCAAAGCACGCTCCAGCCGCACCACAGTGCCGAGGCGACTCACTGCCGGCTCGCTCCTCGCAAGCGCAGCCTCCCCGGGGGCCACCCTGCGCCAAGCGGCCTCGCTGGGAAATCCTGCCGAGCAGCCAGTGCTGAATCCGCTGTGAATTGGGTGGGCAAACACGCTACCTTGTGCTCAGCATTTGCACTTACTTGGGGGGGCCTACATGCATTTCGGAAAAACCTAATAACCCTTCTGAGAGAGCTTTGAGTGCACCAAAACCTCTTCTGACTGTTGCTAGAAATGGAGCCGTGTTAGTCTTTAAAGTGCTACATGGTCCTGTATTTTGTTTCAGCTACACCAGACTAACATATTTGGTTGTGACTATTTTCTTCCACTATTTGATCTGGGAAGTGGGTCTGGCCCACGAAAGCTCATCATCTAATAAACCATCTTGTTAGTCTCTAAAGTGCTACATAGTCCTGTATTTTGTTTCTTCTGACTGTTGTAAGGGGAGACTTGGAGTTGTACCTTACAACCAGGGATGCTAACATTTTAGAAGGTCTTCATCTCCTTTCGTTGGGCACAGAATTAAAATTTGTAAAAATCCAATTTCGGGAATAGAAAACACTTTAGAATTGTATACTGTATTTTCCGGCGTATAAGGCGACTGGGCGTAACCTCAAGATGATACTTACCAACAACCACAGGACATACCACACTAATACCAACCCTGGTACCTTCCCTTGCAACAAACCCCGTTGCCAGCTTTCTCCACATATTCATTCTGCTGATACCGTTATTGGACCTAACCAAGTGAGTTATAAGATCAAGAACACATATTCCTGCGCATCCAGAAATATAATCTATGCTATCATGTGCCGAAAGTGTCCGTCTGCTATGTACATTGGACAAACATCTCAGACACTTCGCCAAAGGATTAATGCCCACAAAACAGATATCAGACAAGATCACAAAGAAAAAACAGTTTCTTGCCATTTTAACCAGAAAGGACACTCTCTCAATGACTTGACCACCTGCATTCTGCTACAAAGACCTTTTACATCTGCACTTGAAAGGGAATCCTCTGAACTGTCATTCATGTTAAAATTCGACACTTGCCAACAAGGACTTAACAAACATTTGAACTATCTCACCCATTACCAAGACAGTTTCCCCAATTATCACCTCTAATACCATTAACTCACAAACATCCCACTCTCCCTACCTCTAATATCATCAATTCACAGACACTTACCTTCCTTCCCCCTCCCCCCCACCGCATCCCCCTCCTGTTCTGCAATGTGATTTGTCCTTTTCATATTTGTTCTTTTTTTTAATTGTATCCTTTGGTATATACGGTTGTGACTACTTTCTTCCACTATTTGATCTGAGGAAGTGGGTCTGGCCCACGAAAGCTCATCATCTAATAAACCATCTTGTTAGTCTTTAAAGTGCTACATTGTCCTGCATTTTGCTTCAACTACCCCAGGCTAACACGGCTACATTTCTATCACCAATCTGGAGGGGAGCTAGAGCGTTAGTGTGGGAACCTTGAGTCTCGAGGGCCACACTCACGTGAGCTGGGGTATTAGGTTCCTCACCCCTGCTTTAAAAACAAAACCTCTTACTCTTAAAAATCGATCCCCGTATCTCTGGTCGGACCAGCTTCACGCAGGTCCTCGGGGATGGAAAACTGCAGCAAACTGTATGAACAGAAACAAACAGAAGCCCCAATCGCAGCTGGAGGTGGGGCGAGGCTGCCCCAGCAGGGACACAACGGGGCAGCCGCCCTCCACCAGATCAGGAAAACAACCGCGCCATTCCCCGGCCAGCAGGAAGGCGAGTGCCGCTGCAAGGCTCCGCAAGGGAGGTGGGCGGCAGAGGGGTGTTTGTGCGCGGCCGCGCGCCTTCAGCGGCAACTCCCCTGGTGCCCCCTTCTCTAGTCCAGCCAGGCCTAAAATGCTCAGTGCTTAGAAGGCGGGTGGGGAACCTAAGGCCTGGGTGCGTGGGGCTCCTCCACCGTCGCCCCCTCCCCACGCCGTGGGGCTGGAGCGCACAAAGCGACTAGGCTGGGCCCTGCAGTGCTCTGGCGCCAGGGGGACGTTTCTCCGCTCAGCTGGGGGCCAGGCAGGGAGGCTTTTCTGTCGGTTGGTTTGTCTGTCACCTGTTTGCCCCCCAATTCTCAGCCACTCCCCCCCTCTCCCCACACGCCCCCACCCAGGACGCTCTCGGCCTCTGCAGGAGGCACAGCCGGGCACTGGGCGGCACTGCGGGCAGCCAGGGCCAGAGCATCCCCCCCCGGGCACAGGGGGGATTCAGCGGGCACCCGGCCCCGCCCCCAGGCAGCGAGCAGCGCGGGGAGCAGGGCTCAGGCCGCCCCGCCCCCCCGCGTGCGGGACACGTTCTGTGCGTGCCCCGCCCGCGGGAACCACCCCTCGAGGGCGCGCGGCTCCCCGGCGGGGGGAGGGGGCACGTGACACTCCCGCGCCCCGGTGGCCCGCAGCCCCCCCTCCCCGAGACACCCACGTGACTGGAGCCCGGGTCAGCTCCCGCGCCCCAAAGGGGGGGCCACAGCCCCGTTCCCCCGGCACCACGTGGGGGGGGTCACAGGGGCGCTGCTCCCCGGGGAGGCTGCAGCGCCGGGGGGGGGCAGAAATCGCCCCCCCACCTCCTCCCGGGCCCCCCCCGCTTACCTTTTATAACTGTAATATTGAATAGACTGCTTAGTTTTCATGCATCCTGACTTGACTAATGGATTACATCAGTTGCTATGATTCTGAGTTGAACTTTACTGGAACACTGGTCCAGACTATTCATGTGTCTGTGTAAGGCCTCCTCTTTGTTGGATTGTTTCCCTATATTATATGCTTAAAATCTTTATTTGGCAACATTTCTGAGGCTGAAGTGTAAGTCCTAGGGATCTTGACTGGGATATCTCAATATGAAAAGTCAATGGAGAAGGTCAAAATTTGGCATGCCATGGAAATGCTATTAATTCAGTCAAGTTTTGTGTACTGAGACTTGCTACAGGAATTTATTTCCATTCTCTACGCTAACCTAATTCTTCATATTCCAGAAATATATTACAAGGTCTTGAGAGGCTGTGGATTTTTTTTCTTTTCAAGATTTAGAGTTCTATCTTGCAGAAGCTTCTGTTGATGCAATATATTACTCACTCCTTTAGGGGAGCAGAGAGGGCAGGGCCTCAAGGAAGGGCTGGAGTCTTGGGGAAGGGATGGGGTAGTTCTTGGCTTGTCCCGACATTTAAAAAGTGATCTTGGGTATAAAAAAGTTGGAGACCGCTGCTCTAAACTATGTGGCAACACAGCTTCACAGGCGATTAATCAGCCTCGCCCAGTCAGTCAACTCCCATCGAGTCCTGAGCCTCTGACTGGGCGAGGCTGATTAATCACCTGTGAAGCTGTGCTGCCACACAGCTTAAAGGGAACACTGACCTCCAGCATCTTTTTGTCACATGGTGGCACTTTCACTGGCAGGCTATGATGATTTGCTGAAGAGAAAAGCTGTCCTTCCTTTTTTCTGAAAGGACAATAAGATTCTGTCCTGTGTTGTGTAGTCCTGTTCTCACATCTACCAGTAACATGTGGGTCTTTATACAAGCCACTCTACCTCTCTACTTATTTTTTTATACCTCTCTACTTATTTTTTCCTTCTCACCCATTGCCTGTCTTACCTATCTGGACCAGGATAAGCCAAACCTACTGACTCTCCAAGCCACATACAATAACCTTCAGAAGTTCAAGAACCACAAGCCATACATACTCTGCCCTGTAAAGTGGCATCGGTTGGAGCATGGGGCTTCTGCCCTCCCACTTCTGGATAGCGAAGGCCCTTATAATCTCCTCCCTGTAAGGCAGAAGCTTTTAGTCTCACCACCCCACTACAAGGCAGAAGTTTGTAGCTCCATCACTCTGCCACAGGGCAGAAGCTTAAGTTCCTCCTCCTACCCTGTCTTGTAGGTAGAGAATGGGGAGGTGTATGCGGGGCATGGTTCTGTGAGCTGCATTTTAATTGTAAAAAAGCCACAGTTTGACCATGCTTGATCTATCATAGAATTATACGATTGGAAGAAACCTCAAGAAGTTATCAAGTCCATCCCCCTGCTAAAAGCAGGACAAATCTCAACTAAGTCATCCTGGGCACAGCTTTGTAAAGCCAGGACTCAAAAACCTCTAGGGATGGAGATTCCAGCACCTGCCTAGGTAACTCATTCCAGTGCGCCACCACCCTCCTAGTGAAATAGTGTTTCCTAATATCCGACATAGACCTTCCCCATTGCAAATTGAGACTTACTCCTCATTCTGTCATCTGTCACCACTGAGAACAGCCTCTCTCCATCCTCTTTGGAACCTCCCTTCAGGTAGTTGAAGGCAGCTATTAATTCCCCTCTCACTCTTCTCTTCTGTAGACTAAATAAGCCCAAATCCCTCAGTCTCTCCTCGTAA